TCCACTGATGTCAATGGGAGTCTGTGTAACTTTGTCTCTTCAGCTCCCACTGAAGCCAGAGGCAAAGACTGAGCGACAGACAGGCAGATATAATAAAAGGTTAAATGCTTTTAAAAACAGAATTTAAGTTGATCTTTGGAGCTAGGCCACATGATCACATATGAGAACCCCAGTATTCAATCAAATACAATCAGATAATGACAGTAATCAATAGTGAAGGTAAGCATTGTTATTAATTTTCATAACCATATCATATAAGTATCCCACTGATCACATGCCAGTATTCACTTGGCCATAGTCAATCACATGTCAGTATCGGCACCTCAGAGAGCCCAGGGAGGGGGGGGAAGAGAGAGAAAAGCTTGAGGAATTACTAAGAAAACAGCCAACAAAGTTAACCCTAATAATGTGGGCTGTTTGTGTGCCACTGTGATCCTGTAATTATATAAGGGGGTTGACTGTGTTTTCATTACCCCAACATTTGTAACAAATATACGAAGAGTGCGGTGATGGGTAAAAATTGCTTACAATCCTCAGCAGTATCAACAAATTACAAATACGACTCTAAACTATGAGTTGGCTAAGGGAGCACTGGGTGTTTGTTCTTCCTAGGCGAGGTTGGCAGTCCTGAAGAACATAGCACAATGGCTGATGGCAGCTCAACACGAGGACATAGCACTGTGTCAGTGGATGTGAGGAACTGATCTGAAAGCAGCAGACAGAGAGATTCCACTGTCCTGGGAGCGTCCTTTGAATTTTGTCTCTATGAACCTGGGGTCAGAATAGAGACACGTAGATTTTTGCTTCCCCTGTAATAGAAAAGGGGTGCTGTGCCTCCAGATCAAACACTAAATTCACCTTGACCTAACCTCTGAATCAAATGTAACTTAACAGCAGTTTCATAAACTTTATATTGATTTTTCCAAAAAGCAAGCTTCTGCCGAGAACAGTGGGAACTGAACAATGACTCTGAGACACTCGGGCGCCCATCTTGCTGACCTACTGGACTTTGGGTCCAAATACTTCTGGGCCACATATTGGCACTAAGTTCATATGTGAATGTACAAGAATGTATGTGGAGATCATGAGAATGGTAATCTCGCAAAGTATTTTTGGTTTGCAAAACCAGTTCAAATAAGTTCACAAAACTTTCTTTGCCTCTGTAAATTAAATCTCTTTGGTTTTTTTTAAATAACACAACACTTTTTTTCTAGCAAACAGGAAATGGGGCTATGTACCTCTACAAAAACTAAACTGGTATAAGTGGGTCCCTGGGGCTAGTAGAATTATTCCTGTCTCCTTTTTTCAGTTCTCATTTTCTCTCTCTCCATTTTTCCCATTGGATTTCTCTCCCTGCTCCTCTTTTCACAGCCTCTCCCAAATGGAAGGCAAAGCCAGTAAAGTGTGAGTCCAGCTTTCAGACCTACAGCATCCAAGCTGGTGTGACATTAGGCAAAATGAGTTAGCCTATTTCTAAATAATAAATAATAATAATAATCCCAGTTGCAGTAAAAAACAAATTACAGGCAAATGGAATGTAGTGAACAAGCTGTCTGTTGCAGAAAAGTACAGTCTGTGTTTGCTCTCTTCATAGCTTATTAGGCCTCTCAATTAGTTGCAGTTACTTAGGGTATGTCTACACTACGGGATTAATCCGAATTTAGATAATTCGAATTTGGGAAACAGGTTGTATAAATTCGATTGTGCGCGGCCACACTAAGCACATTAATTCGGTTTTAACCACATTAATTCGGTGGTGTGCGGCCACACTACCCCATTAATTTAACCACATTAATTCGGTGGTGTGCGGCCACACTAATCCTAATTCGAATTAACAAAATCGATTTTGGCGCTACTCCGCTCGTCGAGGTGGAGTACAGAAATCGATTTTAAGTGCCCTTTAATTCGAATTAACTGGCTCCGTTGTGTGGACGGGTTAAGGATTAATTCGGATTAACGCAGCTAAATCCGAATTAAAGTCGTAGTGTAGACCAGGCCTTAGAAAGCACTCAGGGTGGACTGTCACCTCTGGGCATTGAGAGGTTGGGGAAGAGGAGCTGAATGAGTGCACCTAAGGCATAAGCAGACAAATCTGCCATATGGAAAAGCTCCACACGGATCTCTCTTTTGCAGATCTAGATGAAATAAAGACACTAGCTCCATGCCTTTGCGCTGCAACCCTGCCTTTCCCACACTAAGTCCATGGCTTTGCTGAGGCATTAAGACACAGAAGAAAGCAATAACTGGAGTAATACCCCTTAATATTGCTTTAAAGCAAAAGCTGTCTCCCCAGCTCTGCATACAGATGGGTCGGGAAGCTATAGAATCTGACATTCAAATCTTGGAGAAATGATTCTAGTGGGCTTCCTAATTTACAGCGTATCGGGTTGGAAATGCTACCTTAAACATAACAACAATACATATAGGAAATAAAATGTTTTCTTGCTCTGGGAAAAAACAACCAAAACGTGCCTACCAGCAAGTAGGAGCAATTCAAAATAGAAGCCATTCATTTCTTAGCAAGGATTAATTAGCTGTCTGGGGTTATTAAATGTTTTCATTGGCCTGATCTGTGATGAAACCGGGAGCTATAAAAGTGAGCCAGAGGTAATCACAGCAACAAATAATATTTTAAACAAAAACAAAACAAAAAACCCTGCTTGTAATGCAAATTCTGACAGTGTGAATAAATTACAGACTGGTCTGGTCTGATTAACAGCACATCAGATGGACTGTTCAGTTGGAGTTTTTAGGCCTACAGTTTAGATCCGGTGTTTTTCTTTTAAATCTCCAATGACAAGCTGAGGTAAATGTGGTCTCGCTCCATGTTTAAACAGAAAGCCTGCTTCAGTCTAACTCAGGGGTTCTCAAACTGGGGATCGGGACCTCTCAGGGGGTCACGAGGTAATTACATGGGGGGTTGTGAGCTGTCAACCTCCACCACAAACCCCGCTTGCCTCCAGCATTTATAATGGCGTTAAATATATAAAAAAGTGTGTTTAATTTATTAAGGGTGTCACACTCAGAGGCTGGCTATATGAAAGGGGTCGCCAGTAAAAAAGTTTGAGACCCACAGGTCTAACTGGTAACTGGCCCTGTGGGGAGCAGAGGATACAAGGAGCTTATCCCCTTCCTCTTCTCACACTCCGGGTCATGGACCAGTCACAGTTTGGCGAGGTTGCAGAACCCCGTTCCATGCTTATGCTGCCTGCAGGTCCAGCCTTCACATAAATGACCAGGCAGGGTGAAGTAAGGACGGGGCCCCTGGCCGTCTGACCCCACTGCTTCAGCCAGCAGACATGGCCAGGCACAGGGGAGAAGTCTTGTACTCATGTAAAAAACAACTGAACTGCAGCTTCAGAGTGCACTCCACAGGAGTCCTGGGAAGAATCCTGACTGAATCAGCTGAGAGGCCCCCTCAGCACCTAAACTCCCCCTGCAGGGCTGTGCCTAGAAGACACAATCTAGCTCTTAGTCTGCACATTAAAGATCAGAGACCAATATCCCCTGACAATACTGCATCCCCCATGAAGAAGGCCAAATTTACCAACACAAAGATGGACCAGGTGAAATTTGCTACTAAGTGCTACAGCTTCCAAACACCAGTCAGTGGTACAGCCCTCACAGCATCACTCCCACCTTGTCTTATGGGGGCTTCCCCATAGCAATCACCGATGCAAGGCTCCTGGACTTTAGGGTGTCAGCTCCAGAAAACCACATAAGACAACAGCTTGGTACAGCACTCAGAAAGGCGAGTGGCGTTCCAGTGACTATGAAGAAAACTGGTTTAATGGATTTTGTACGTGCATCTTCCTTGTAAATGGAAAATGTAGCCTTAGGTGTTTACATTTGATTTGGGAGGCCGGTTTTAATCTTCTTTCACTGGGAGGGAAAACTCAATTACAGAATGTACTTACATTCCAACAACCCAAGTCAAACCCTAAGGAAAAAAAAGAAATGCTTTAACTCCTTCATTGCCAGACAGGAATACAAGCGTGTGCCAGACATGTTCAGCAGCACAAGAGGTGCAGAGTTTGGACCCATGAGGCAGGGGCATACTGGTACCCAGTATGACCAGAGGGGAGAGGATTCTTTCCACTCAGACCTACAGCTCTCTCCAGTAGAGCTGTGTTATTCATCCTGCACATAAGCTGCAGGATTTACCCCTTAATGATCCATGTGACACCATGTCCTATCATCTGACACTAAGCTGAATTCATTAAAGGCATATCAGAGATGTCTCTGTGTTCGCCTTCACATTTAAAGGAAGCAACAGCATTTCCTATTTATCTTCATTTGTTCATTCAGAATGAATAACTCTCCTGAGAATCTGCAGGTTTCTAGATTTACAGCAGCCACCATGAATACCAGATGGTGAAAAAGGATTTCTGTGAGGTGTCAGGGCAAGTGCGGGGCTATATTCTGGGCTGGTGGGGCTCTGCACTATTCAGCTCATTACTGCAGCAGGCTCCTAGAGAACCTCTGCGATGAGAGAGGGCTGGGCTGCTCTGAACCCAGAACCCACAGGAGGGGGGAAGAAAAGGGAGCCTGCATTCTGCATTTCACCCTGAAGGAAGCCACTGCCAGAGCACCGGTCAAGGTTCTACAGCCTGCTCCAGCTCCATGGCCCTTACTCTGTCTTGCTGCCCCAGAGCTCCATTGGCCCTTCTTGTCATGCCTGCAAAAGCAGCCAACCTGGCATCGCAAGCATTCCTGGCTCAAGTATCAACAAAAGCATCATCAATGTTATTGTAATAACAAACTCATCTTTACCAAGACATGGCCCACCACCACCTTGGCTACTTTCCTTATTGTGTTGTACCTCTTCCCTCTCTTTCAGCCTCTCTCTGTCTTTAAACCATGAGCTCCTGGAGGCAGGGACCCCACTGAAGACATGAGGGCATTATGCATGCCACCATAAATAAACCACAGTGACAATTTTCTACCCAAGTTCACATACAGAAAGATTCCTTGACCCTTAGGCGTCTCAATTAACTCACCCGTAGCATTGTAATCATGGAGGGGTCTCGGAGGCGGCCATCTTCATCTTTAAGATTATAGCCCTCTGGTCTTTTATCTCGTTCACTAACTTTCCATAGCTTCACAGTTTTATCTGGAAGAGCAAAAGAGAGAAGAAGATACAGTTATGCCTGAGTAAATGGACATCCTAAAAGGAATGCCTGATAGAAATGCCAGAGTCACAAAAATTGGTTTAAATGTAAAAAAGGTTCCTGTTTCTTGTCTTATCTGAATGAGATCTAGGGACATGGAAAGAATCAGCTCTAAAGAAAGAAACACCGTTTATCATCAACACTTTTTTCCAGGAATATTTGGCCTTCCTATTGCTGCAAGGCAACTGCCGACATATTTATTACAAACTTAAGAAGATTGTTTGATTCAAACAAGCATTAAGAGACAAATTATTTGAGAAGTGATTTCCCAGGGCTCAGCTGCAGAGATTATGACCATAGATCACATGATTCAGTATACAGAGTTTAGGATTTATCTAGTACACGCCACAGTGTGTCACTAGAAACTCTAACATGGGCATTGGCTACAAGAGGAGAGAGCTTTTTACATTGTTCTGAGAAGGCAGAAGTCTGCTGAGAAGTTTAATTTAGAACTCCTCACCTACAGACCAAATCCATATAGAGTCTTTCTTCTCCCATTGCTGCATATTTGTATACCTACCACCAAAGTTAATCAAGAGAACACCCTATTATATGATTTTTCCTCCTACAATTTGCCAGGTTGCATGGCAGTTATCCAGGGGAAACTGACTACTTTCAAGTATGATTTCCAAATTAACTTGGTCCAAATGCTTAAACAAATCACTGAAAACATGTTAAATGCTGATGATACACCACATCTCCATATTGTGTCCCTACTGCCTATTTTATTACTCCTTCTATTCAATCTTATTACTGCAAACTGCCATGATACATGGCAATTCCCAGATTTTAAGGTCAGAAGGGACAATTACAATCATCTACTCTGACCTCTTGCACAACATTTCATTCAATTCCTGCATCAAGCCCAGTTGTCCTCTTACAAATAAAGAGAGAATAATATTCATGAGTGCTCTATCCATCATGTCTTTGAATATTTCCAGCAGCCAGTGGAATCATTAACCATAAGTAGTGCTTGCGCAGCTATACACCAGTGTTTAGAGAACAGTGGTCATTTGTACGTGAACTTTAAAATACCCTGCACACAACGGATGTCAAATTCCATGAGTTTTGTTTTTGTCCATGGGTGGAGACTAGCTTAGGCAAAGAAATCTAGGATGTAATACAGTGAAATATACAGTGATTTAAAGTTCACACTGTGAACACAGTAAAAAGAACATCCCCAGAATGAAGTAAAATCATGTCTGTAATTTACTCAAAAGTCAGTTTCAACTCCCCCTTCCACCACCTTGAACAGAAACTGGCATTTTATTATTGACTGCACATCCAATTTGAATTCCCATACTGCCATCTTTCCTTGGCTTTTTCAACTACTGACATCCCGTTTATCCTGTGCCATGAAGGCTTTTAGGTGAAAGAGCCCCAGGAACATGTGGTCTTTATTCTGAATAATGGTGTTTTCTTTTCCCTTGCCTGGCAGAGATTCTTTCAGCAGTTTATCATCACTTCCACCAGCTTTAAAACACAATCTTATCATTCATCTTAATTTTCTCCTTTACACAGCAATTCCATTAGACTACCATTAATTTTGTTTTTATTAACCCATTTAACTTCAGGGGGTTTCCCCTCTATAATGTTAGTTTAACAACAAGAACAAAAAGATACAGAATAACCTGGGAGTTATTTTTTAAAGAATCATTTTGATATCTTGCAAGCCTCTGAAACACCATCCCAAATGGAAAGATAATATCCCTGTTAATCAAAAAACTATTTAAAAACTCAATTAACAGAACATTATGCTCTATAATTAATCTTCATTGCGTTTCAATGATTCTCCCCCCCAAATGAGTTTAATAAGTCTTTGAATTTTATTACAATGATCAATAGAGTAAATTCCATAATACAAAGTAAGTTGGCTATGGGAGATAATTAGACCCCTCCTTTTCCCCTGAAGTAATTAAGTCACATCCATCTTAAGGTCCCATTCATCCCAAGTAATATCATTGGATCCTCCTGATATTTATCTGAGCATAACAGGAAGCTGCTCAGCTGAACACAGCTGCAAATTGAAAAAAAATCAGCTGTAGTTTTTCTTAAAAAAGATTCCAGGATCCAAAAACATAATGAGCGCAATAAATAGTCAGAGGGAAGAAAATTCCCTGTTTAGTGGCAAACGAACAAGTGTGAACTGACTGCAGAACCCTGTGTGAGGGAAATACACATGAAACATGCATCGACAGCAAATTCTAGCTGGGCTCCTGTTATCCCTATTTAAACTTATGTTTTATAATAGAATAATTCTTGATTTTTTAAAATTGGATTTTGCCAGAAAGAAGCAATAATAACAAAGAAGACATTTTCTGACTATTGTCGGTGTTGCCACAAGTCACAGATACCAATTCCCTGGGCTTGTGCTCCCTCACGGTCAAACTCCCAAGGTGAGCAAACCAAGAGAAAAAGGGACCAGAGACAGAAAAATGACTTCAAGGCTTTTTAAGCTCTTCTGCCCTGTAGGCTGAAGAATTTTCTCACCAAGGTTGGGCTTCAAATGCTGATCTTAGCCATGCTAGTTAAAATCCAGTCACATCACTGGTCAGACATCATCGTACGTGAGACCAGAGTGCAGCCCATTGAATGTATCGAATTCCTAACCTGAATATTCCTGGCCCTCCTAATTCTTGCTTCTCCTCCTCCTTTTACTTTATATATGTGGATTATGTGGACACCACGGGCCTGGATCTTGAGAGGCGTTGAGACCCAGCAACCTCCAGCTGAAATCAGGGGGATATGGTACAAGTACAGACCCCAATAACTGTTTTAAATAACTCCCCTTCTCTATTGTTCTCTCCAGGATCCCAGAAGAATGGTATTTCAATAGGACTTCTCCTCCGTGTAAGTACTACTCAGCATGAGTAAAGGCTGCAAAAATCAGTCCTCCTTGTTTTTTTTTTTTAACTACTACAAAAAATGTGAAGATGGTTTTCCTGAGGGCAAGGTTTCCCTAATACTGAAGTTATGGATGAAAGAGTCTGTTCCAAAGGTAATGGGAGTTACATGCCTGAACAGAAGGCAGAAAGGAATTCAAATAGGATAGGCCCCTGGACCAAAACCACAGATACAAAAGGAAGACTGAGGTGCACTAGGGCATGCCCCATTAAATGTTAGTTCAGTGTTTGATCATTTACAAAAATTGACAAGAGTATAACTAAGATTAGAACTAGGAGGTGAACCTTGGTTACTTACCTCAGCCTTCTCTGTTCATCTCCCCACGTTTTTCTCTCTCCTGGGAGAGATTCTTTGGGATGAGGGGCAGCATGGGCCTGCTCCTGTGAGGAGCTGAGCACCCTTAATACTCCATTAATTTCAAAGGATGTCAAAGATGCTCTGCACTTCCCAGGATCAAGACCTAAATAAACGTAAGACCTTAGTGGTCTAGTGATCGAAGAAGAGGGCTGGAAGCCAGGAAAACTGGGTTCTATTTCCATCTCTGCCACTGCTTCACTGTGTGACTTCAGGCAAGTCAAACTCTCCATGCCTCAGTTCCCCCCGCTCTAAAATGGGGGAAATACTTACCTGTCCTGTGGGGGGATTGTGAAGATTTATTTTTTCATGCTGACAAAGCACCATGGAATCCATGGATGAAAGGCAAAGCATTATATATTATTATTGTCACATACCATTGGTGGAGAGAAGGAAGTAGGCTGCATTTTGCTGCGGGAGCCATCGTATTTTATTGATCTTCTCCTCTATCTCTAAACTCTTCAGGTAATCGAACTCGGGTTCATGGCTCTGGAACGTGCTGTAAACATTGTATTCTCCCCTACGATGGGGCTGATTTTTACTCTGCAGGAGTGAGAAAAAAATGGTAAAGGGAATTTTGAGAGAGAGAAAGAGAGAGCGAGAGAGCGCAAATTTTCTATTGATTCTTTTGTTCTCTGCGGATTGTTAAGAGATGGGGAATGTGTGATTACGGTGACACATTACAGTTTAGATATCAAAGCCGACACAAGAGATCTTTCCGGCACGATGTATTCTCCTCTTGTGTCAGTTTCTCTGCATGCTGATGATATGAGCAGGAAATGGTGCTTTTGTTTTGCTTTGTTTCTAGAATGAATGAAATCCTCCCTATCATTTCTCTCCAAGGCAAATCGGTGAGGAGAGATAATGGCTCAGATACAGGGCCAAGTCCCGTTTGACTCACTCACACGAGCAACCCCATAGAAGCCAGTGGGGCTCTGTACTGGCATAAGGTGAGCAGGATTTGCCCCAAAGATCTATAAATATCCAGCAGAAACAAAATAACCAAGGAAAGGAAACAATCTGTGCACGAATGAACGTTGCATAAAACGGCAAAGGGCTCAGTCCTGCAAGGTGCTGGGCAAGCCTGGCAGGTGCTGTGTACCTTCAAGTCCCATGGACATCCATGAGGTGCCCAGGTGCTCAGCACCTTGGAGCCCTGAGTGAGGCCGAGGTAGCTAAATGCTCCCAGACACGCTCAGATACTACAGTGATGAGCACTATATAAGAACCCGAATAGAATAGAAATGCACACACTTTATTGTATGGATTGACTTTCTGCGTTCAAATGACGTACCCAGGCCCTTTAACATCCCTCCAGAAGTGGCGCATCTCTGTAAAGCAGGAATTCAATGGAATTTACCCTGCAGCACATAAGGAAGTTTAAAGTTCAAGAAATGGAGTAGAATAATAAAAAGAGAATAGGAAATAAAATACTGTTGGGAATGATGATAATGGTGTGTGTATATATAATCTAAACTAAACAGCCCCTCCCAGTGTATACTGTATACATAGAAACAGTTTTGAGAGTAAGACTTTAGAATAGGCTTTTAAATGTCTTTGTGTTGCCTCTGAAGAAGTGAGGTTCTTACCCACGAAAGCTTATGCTCCCAATACTTCTGTTAGTCTTAAAGGTGCCACAGGACCCTCTGTTGCTTTTTGGACTATAAAGTTTATCATGGCCAGAACCCCGAGATCCCACTCCACCTTAACAGAACACATTGACAAAAGGGGGCTTTGCTACCATCCAGATCAGACTGTGAAGTATGCACAAGATGTGCCAGACCAATTAGCATCAGACAGCTTTGGAAACGGAGGGAAAAAATATTCCAGATTGTAAGGGCCTGTGACAGTTTTCATTTGCCAAAACCATTCTGTGCTTCTTGGACCCACAGCATGTGCAGAGATCTTTAATTGTGTGCTCAATGCCTTGTGCAAATATGGGTCCTACAGAAATGAACCACAAATGATACATAGCTTCCAAGAAGCTCTTAAGGAAGGTTTTTCTGAGGTAAGGTGTATGTCCAGAGTCACCTTGATGATTCTTATCCATCTATGCTACAGTAGAATTTTTTTTTTTTTTTTAATTTGAAATGTTCTGTTCTCTGAGAATTTTTGATGCTCCTGGAAGTGACAGACTCACACCAGCAAGGCTGAGAGCCCACTACAGTACAGCCAGATACTGTGCAAGCTTCCCCCCACAGCTCTTGGCACATACCCCAAATCTTGTTCTATAGCGAAGGGACTCTTGTGAGCAGTGATGGCCAACTGAGCCAAACTCACTGCTCGCGTGGGCTGCCCCACAGCACTATTCTTTGAGCTATTCTGCACTGCTACTAGCTTGCCCTGCCTGCACCTACCCATTGTGAGAAGTGAGAAGCCCAGAGCAGGAGCAAATAGTGCTTCAAGAGCATTCATTTCTGGCAGTTATTCTAGTGAGAACATTGCCAGACAGACAGGGGATCACACCACAAAAAGCAGCTGATCCTCTTCCCTGCCCAACCTGACATCGCTCCCTTCTCTGAGCCACACAGCTTCAACGCAGCAGAGTTGACAGAGGTCTCTCAGAAAGAGGGCAGTGTCACAAAGTTCGTGCTTGGCCCACAAAGACTTTTCTGCCCCCTTTGACTCTTCCCCATCTCGCATTGAAGGGGAATACAAGGCCCTACGCATGTTATTGGTGGTGTGAGCAGGGAACAACAAGGGAAATGGCAATTATGGCTTAAAATTGTAGGGGCTCTTACACCAACTGTTAGGCTGTGCTGTGATCTCACTGACACCAGTGTAAATCAGGTGCAATTCCATTGACGTCTGAGGTGTTTTATCAGTGTAAAAAAGGGTGAAACTGAGATCAGAAGGCAGCTAGTTAGGTTTACAGAATTCTAACATGCTAATGCAAATTGATACAAATCAAAGCAAGGCTGTGAACATGAGAAGGTTCAATGAATGTGCCAAATTTGGATGAAAGGAGCGAAGTTCAAAGAACATTATTTGGTTTGGCAAATGACACAATTAGGACCACTGGAGTTTCTAACGCAGCAGCTTGATCCAATTTGCATTAGGTTCCCAACAAGTGCAATAAAAGTAAAATGATGCAGAAAATGCAACATTTTGAAGGTGCTTTCTGAGAGGAATATGGTCCCATTTTGGTTAATGGCCTATTTGCAGTTTTTTGTTTGCCAGAAGAGAACTGGGGGGAAGAGTGACACATGAGGATTAGGAAGCAGCAGGAAGCTTCTTTTAAAAGGATAAAATAGGCATTTTGCATTCACTAGCACTTACCTCCTGCTCACGTTGAAATATTACAACCCGACCCCCCTTGTCCCCTGTCGCTAGTAATTCTCCTGTGTGGTTGAATTCTACTGTAGAGATAATGTCAGCTGAAAAAAAGAAGACAAAGGCAATTTAAGTAAGTATATACTGGCTTTTCATGGGCATCTATAAGACACCATTCTCTGTGCAGTTAAGGAAAAATTTATTGTCAGTGCTTTGTCTCCCCAGAGAAGTTTCCAGAGTCCTTCTGTTTCTTCTTGTACATACATATGCTCATGGAATTTTGTAACACAGTTTACTAGGAATGAGCACAAGCTAAAACCTGATATAAACCCATGGAGTTCTGGGACACTAAGAATTGGATTCACGTCTGGAAGTAAATTTTGTGGCTGTTTTATGTCTCCATAGTGGTGTTATCCCAAACCAATACCATACGCAAACTCTGGGAGACATTTGGGTCTAGATTTATATCCAGATTTTGGAATTATCGCCATTTCTACTATTTGTGCTCAATAAAAAGCCCCCAAAACATCCTGTGCACGTTTAAGTGAATGTGTCATCATTCAGATCCATATTTTCCTTTCTATGCTCCCTCCACTTCCCTCTGACTCTAGGGGAGCTCTGCTAGTTTCCATCTCTGCAGAGTCAGAGGATGGGGCAGATGGGGGACCTTGCTGGGCACCACTGCATTCTCCCCCCATTCAAAGCCACAGGGCAAAATAGCCTTAGATGTGTGCTGTTTGCCCTGCCCACTGCAGAACCCCCGTTTTGTACTTCAGATTAAGTAAAGGAAACACTCCATCCACACTACTGTATTGCCATCTAGTCTCCCCAAAGTGGTGCAGTCCGACACAATCATCAGAAGAAAAGTTGTGTGTGAACAGGGCCATGTGGTCAAAATTACAGTGAGGCGAATTGTCCTAATGTGTGAGAAACAAGGAAACAGACAGGAACCAGTAACTTATATAGGGGGTCACAATCTGGGAAAGCCATGCTTTAAAGGCTTTACTCGGTGTTTACCCCTAAGGCAAAGCAGGCAGGAGAACCGCCAATGATTGGATTTATTAGGACTATTTTTAGAAGAATGTCAGAGGTTAATTCTACTGTGGTTTTTCCCCTACTGGTCTTCATGAATTGTCTTTGAGTGCAGCATTCAGCAAAGGCAAAACAGTGCAGGGGGGAGAAGGAATACGGCCTCAAACCCAGCAGTTGGCTAAAGGACATCTTTTAAAATGAAAGGCACTTTGTTTTAGCTTTTGGTATCCAGATCCTTTGTGTACAAGTCAGTTTTATTGAACTTTAAATTCTCTTTTCATACCTTATTTATGTAACCTCTCTTTCTCTCTGTCTTTGTATATGTGTGTGTCTATCTAAACAAAACATTTCTAATAAACATGTACACCCCTTATATGTATGTACGTGCACACACATTGGGCACATACACTCAGACGTCGTATGAATGCTTAAAGAAAAACAGGTGCTTAGGTGCTGCCCTGAATAGGGATGCTTTTCTGACCCTTCTAGATGAGCTGTAGATATCACAAGAGCTTCTCTCACGGATTGTTTTTTAGCATATACTTTACTGGATCAAAATCTGTTTTACTGTAATGCACCGAGAGTCTGACACAGGTGAAAAACATCTAAATAAATATGTCAGCACTGAATTGGACCCAAACATATAAGATACAATCAAAATATTAGGAAGGTACTAATATATATGGATCTCTCTTACACACACACACACACACACACACACACACACACACCCCTGCGAACTTCAGAAGCCACTGTGAATGCTGGTTATTGTCTATGTCTTCTACAATGTGAATCAAGATGCCATCCAGCAAAAAAATATCCTCAAGAGTTCTGGTATTTCTAAATGGTATTTCAGACAGGCAAGTTTCCTCCCTCCAGGTTCTAATTGTCCTGAATTGCTCAATCATCTTAAATATTGCATCCCGTGATCTCAAGTTATAGATGTTAGTTGCATCAGTCATTTTCCTATTCTTGTCCCCAGACTGGTGCCACTGCACCCACATAAACTGCCTCTGTTCTTTGCCAGTCTCTGGACCAAACTGCTTCCGATTTACGGCCTGACATACCACAATGGCTTCAATGTACGTCAGGTGAAATCTGGCCCATTTTAAACAAGTTTAGTGCTATTTACTCATTTCACTAGAATCCAGTTTGTTTGGTTATTTTCCCCTTATTCCTCTACTAGTGCCTGGTGGCTTAACTCAAGCTGGGAAACCAATGGGACTCTTAGCTGGCTGACAAGGAGATGATTCTTCTCCTCCCCAAAGGGCAACAAAGTCCACCTCAGTCATGCATTAAGTTTCTACCAGACTAAATTGAAGCGGTGACTCCTGGATGTTCCCCCAGCCCAACCAACATGTTCTTAAAAAAAAAAAAAAAAAAAAAAATCAGTATAACTCAGATCTCCACAATCTGGCTAGAACAAGGAAGGGATTCCAGGAGCTGGTGTAAGAGAACAGCCTCAGGTAGGGTAAGTCTCAGGCTCTAGCTTCACTACAGCGACCCACTATAACCGGCCTCTGTACAAAAGCCAAATGTGGTATCTCACGCATCTATTCCACGCTATGTCCACTCACGCATCCTGGTGGACTAACCACCATTTATAGTACTTACTGCTCAGACTGTGTGTTACATTCTCCTGCCCACCTTTATGTCCAGTTCTCCTTTGCTTTTCACTATTAATGTGGGGCAATTATGGTCCAGGAGTAAAAACAGGAAAAAAGCCTTCCAGTGTGGAAGGCGACTGGGGACACAAGACCTTCTTCTTTCTTGACACTTTCCTAATCAGGGTCAGCGACTTCCATAGCCTTCTTCCAAAACGCATGAATGTACACCTAGCTGTCGTGCATATTGGTCTCTGTAAGGTCCACGGATATCCGGTCCATATATCGAGTCTTTGGCCTCCACCTTGGTCATCTTCAGTCCACGATCATTGCAAAGGCCAGCCTACCAATATCGTTAACTTTAGCAGCCCTTGCCCAGTTACAACAGTCGGGTAAGGCTGTTGCAGGTGGCTTGTGAGGAATGATCCTGCTCTCTGAGGGACACTTGACATGGACACAAGTTCAAAAGGGCATATCTTATTGGACAAGTTTTACATGTTGGCTGTCCAAGCTTGACACCACCAGTTTGAAATTGGAGTTTCCCTTCTAGGTGATCTGTTTATCAAGGCTACCAAACCCTACCTGCCCCAGCAAGTCTTATTTTAAGGTGGTCTTTATTCACCTTATGTCCTCATCATAGGGCCTATCTGGCATTTTACAGAGATAGCCGTGCCACCAGCTACCCCACCATGCCCTGCTGAGAGATGCCATGACTACTTATTGGATATTCACAGCTGTCCTACCGTTTCCTATCCATCACCCAGGAATGTGTCTGATGGGAGTTGGTTGCCCCTTCTCAGTGCTGGGGACACACGGCCATCTACAATTTATTCGTCATGTCCACTGTTTTATGTCTTCATAGGGATCCCTCCACTCACTTTAGAATCCAATCACTCCCTGATAATGTGCGAGGAGCCCACCATGTCTGCTGAGCTGTGACAATCCAGATGGCAGCAAGCAGGTGAGTAATGAACTCCATGCTGCTTCTATTAATATTCACACATCTTCCCCATATTGCCCCGTCTCTCCAGCATTAAGCATAATTGCAATGACATGTGAATGCTTTCTAAAGTTTGTCTTAATTCATTTATAACATTTGGTTGCTGTGAATAGATTTAGGGATAATATTTCATTGCACACAGAGCCAGCACTGCAGCAAAAAGAAACCCAAGAGGATTATGGTAGATAACACCCCATCTATCCGAACACACAGAAATCTACCGAGTGGCAGGGGTGGTAGCCTGGCCAGCACTCAACTGGAAAGCAGTAAGGTGAAGCATTTCTATTCCATTATATGGAGCCCTTCTGATTCAGCCTGGATTTGTGGGTAGTAAAATCTGCCATTAAGATTTTAACCATCTGCTACCAACTTTCACAAAAGGGATGAACCTCAATACAGAGGGGCCAAATTCTACTCTCATTTACACCAGTGGAAAGCCAAAGTAACTCGATTGGACATGGCTGGACTATTTGGTCCGATCAACACTTACTACAAATTTCATCCTTTTTTAGTAAGGGAGTCATTTGTGAATGGATCCTGATTTGCTTCAAAAGTGTATTATTCATACCTTAAGTACCTTAGATAAATGAGCTACAGGCCAATTACTATCCCCATTTTACAGATATGGAACCAAGACAGAGATTTGGTCCTTAACTACCACAATTAGAGGTATGATTTTTTTTTTTTTTTTACCAAAATAGTTATACCAATATAACACCTAGTGTGGATGCAGTTATACTGGTATGAAGTGCCTTATACTGGTATAGCTTATTCCCATCCTCCATGAGAATAAGCTGTATGGCATCTTTATCCCAGTATAACTGTCCACACTATAGGGATTGTACCACTTCAACTATACCAGAATAAAGTTATACAACTTGTGTGTGTAGACAAACCCCAAGTGACTTGCTCCTGGTCACACAGGAAGCCTGGGGGAGGGGGGAGGGGAAATCAGGATTTAAACTTCTCTCTGCCCAGTTGAGTCCTGTAGCCTAACTGCAAGACCATCCTCCTTTCTACACTTGTACAGTTCCTAGAACACAGGTTTGTAATCTATTACTGTATTTAATGTTGATGCTACAAGGCTGGGTGGCCCAGGGAACGGATAATAAAGTACACAGCCTTTGACTTTAGATCACCAGCTCATATTCAACCCAGATTGGAAGTGACCCAAATCCTTCTGTATGATGCCCTAACACTTCCCTACACTGTGTGTAGCTCCCCTTTCCAGCACAGCACCTTAACTAAACAATAAATACACAACAAAATTACTTACACACGAGCAGCATGACCTCCCTGAACCTCCTCTTGAGTGATTCTCTCATCATTACTTAGTTTTGATGGATAGAAACAGACGAGTCAAGGTGAAAAAAAAAATGTCTTGCCTAGACCTGTCAAAGATTTATAGGGAACCTGGGAGTGGTGAAATAGATGCAATAGTGCCAGGAACGTCCAGGTTACTTGAACA